ACTGACCATCTACAGCCTTCTGGTGGAGTGAATTCCATAAATTCACTGCTCTCTGTGTGAAGAAATGTTTCCTCAACTCTGTTCTAAAAGGCTGACCCTTCATTTTAAGACTGTCACCCCCTGGTTACAGATTCTCCTACCAGGGAAACAGTCCCTCTGTGTCTACTTTATCAGCCGTTTAAGAATCTTATATGTTTCAATAAGATCCCCCTAATTCTTCTGTACTCGAGAGAATATAGCCCGAGTTTATTCAGCCTATTCTCACAGGTCAGTCCCCTCATCACATGAACTAACTTAGTGAATCTACGCTGCACCTCCTCGAGGGTATGTATGTCCTTTTTTTAAATAATGAGACCCAAACTGCACACAATACTCCAGGTGCGGTCTCACCAAAGGCCCTATACAGTTGCAGGAAGACTTCCCTACTCTTGTCCTCTGATCCTTTTGAAATGAACGCTAACATGCCGTTCGCCTTCATAGTTGCTGCTGCACCTGCAAAGTGAGACTGGTGTATAAAGAGTGTACACCACTTTTGGTGAGTGTTTCTGTGTGTGTGTATATTGTGTGTGTTTGTGTGTTTTTTGCGGATCTGTGTATGTGTATTTATGTGTGTGTGTTGTATTTGATTTTGTGTTTCTGTGTGTGTTTTTGTTTTTGTATGTTAGTGATTGTTTTTGTTGTTTGTTTGTGTGTACATGTTTGTGAGATTGTATATTTGTTTGTGTTTCTCAGTGTGTATTTGTGTATGTGTTTGTGTATGTTTATGTATGTTTGTGTATGTGTGTTTGTGTGTGTTTCTGTGTGCATATTTGTGTGTGTTTTTGTGTATGTATCTGTTTATGTATATTTATGTCTGTGTGTGTTGGAAAGTGATGTTGTTCCTGTGTGTGTTTGTTTGTTTTTGAGTGTGACTGTGTGTCTTTATGTGTGTTTCTATGTGTGTTTATGTTTTTGTGTGTGTATGTTTGTGATTGTTTGTGCATGTGTGTGCGTGTTTGTGAGTTTGTTTTTTCTATGTTTGTTTGATTGTTTGTGTGTTTCTGTGTATGTGTTTCTGTGTATGTTTATGTATGTCTATGTGTGTTTGTGTGTGTTTGTATGTGTGCTTGTGTGCTTTTTTTCTGTGTGTGTGTTTACACTCGTGGGATTGTGTGTGTTTGTGTGTCAGTGTTTGTGTGTTCGTGTGTTTATCGATGCTGGCGTGTGTTTCTGTGTGTGTTTGCGTATGTATGTGTGAATTTGTGTGTGTGTGTGTGTGTCTCTGTGTTTGTTTCTGTGTGAGTGTGTCTGTGTATGTTTGTGTGTGGGTCTGTGTGTGTGTATTTGTCTGCGGGTCATGTTTTTATGTATGTTTGCGTGTGTGAGTAAGTGCGTATCTGTTTCTGTGTGTCTTTGTGTCTGTGTTTGTGTGGTGGTGTGTGTGTCTATGTGCTTAGTGTGTGTTTGTGTGTGTATTTGTGTGCTGGTGTGCGTGTTTGTGTATGTGTGTGTGTGTGTGTGTGTGCGCACTCCTGCATCCTATCCGGCATCAAACAAACTGTGATTGACAGTGGGTTACACACACTGTGTTTACTCTGATCCCTGTTATGTCTCTGTGTCTCTGATCTCCAGGTTGGACAGTAACAATCTGACAGCGGATTGTACCGAGGATCTGACCTCCGCTCTCAGCACAAACCACTCACTGACGGAGCTGCTCCTGAATAAAAATAATCTGGGAGATTGTGGAGTGAAGCGACTGTGTGAGGCTCTGAGGAACCCGGAGTGTAAAATACAGAGACTGTGGTAAGTAACGCACTGCGTCTCCAGAGTCTGAATGTCTCCAATATCTCAATGTGTTTATTGTGACTGTCTGATCAGTGCGGCTGAATATTGTGACAGGAATCGGTGTGACAGTGTGAGGCCACAAACCATCGTTTACATCAAACTCTCAATGTGTATTAATGTGTGTGTCTGTGCAGGTGTGTGTGTCTTTATGTGTGTGTGTGTATGTGTCTCTGTGTGTCTGTGTATGTGTATGTGTGTGTGTGATTGTTAGAAAAATTTGTAACTCTCCCCAACAATTTTAAAATGATACGATTCCAGTTTACCTATTGGTTGAGTTCAGTCACTATATTCAGATCAAAATAGGAGGTAATGCACAAGTAAATGAAACAATAAAATAATACACAATACACAAAACTGTACCGAGCGGATTCCTGTCACAGCACTGGTCGTGTCCCGCACTGCTCCGCTACCGTTCCCGAGAGATATCTAACACACCTTTGTTTAAAGACACCTTAATAACTCCAGACAAAGCTGTCTTTTTTAAGAAAAACAACTCCTTATATGGTTATATCCTTAGTATGTTTCAATTTCAATTCTCCCTTTAACCACATTTGATTCTCTCCTCATCAGTCCCTTTGTCCAGTGTGTAAGTGTGAACAGACTTTCTGTGTCCTTGTAAGTCCTCACCTTATGTTGCCATTGTTTTGGGTTCTGCCTTCAGTTACTGAGCTTTGCCGCCTTTGCACTTCTATTTTAGATTCTTAAACCACACTTTAACATTAATCCATGACAACACTGTGTGTATGTATGTCTCTGTGTATGCGTGTGTGTGTACGTATGTGTGTGTGTCAATGCATATGCTTTTGTGTGTGTGAGTGCGTGTGTGTGTCTGTTTGCTTGTCTGTGTGTGTGTGCGTTTGCCTGTGTATGTGGGTCTATGTGCTTTTGTGTTTGCTTTCGTAAGTGTGTGTGTATCTATGTGAGCAATTGTTTGTGTGTGTGTTTGTCTTTGTTTCTGTGTTTGTGTTTGTGCGTGTGTTTTTGAGTATATCTGTGTATATATTTTGTGTCTCTCTGTCGGTGTGTGTTTGTATCTGCAGAGTTTTTTGTGTCTCAGTGTGTAATTGTGTTCGACTGTGTTTGCTTGTGTGACTTTGTGCTTGTGAGTGTGTGTGTGTCAGAGCCTTGGAACGTCCGATATGAAAGGCGATATACAACTGTAATCTTGTTGTTGTTGTTGTTGTGTGCGTTTGTGTATGTTCCTGTGAGTGTGTGCGATTCTGTGTGTGTTTGTGTGTGTTCCTGTGAGTGTGTGCGATTGTGTGTGTGTATCCCAGGAGATCGAGTTCAAGAACCTCGTCCTCTCCTTTAAGGTCATCCATGTCCTCGCCCCCTCCTCCCCTCTCTGACCTGCTGACTCCCTACCAACCTGCCCGCTCCCTCCGTCCAGTGGGCTCTGGGCTGCTCCGTGTCTCCCGCCCGACCCGCCCTCCCATCGGTGTCCGGGCTTTCAGCCTCTCTGCCCCACACTCTGGAACTCCATCCCACGGTCCCTTCCCCTCACTTCCTCTCTTGTCTCCTTCAAGGTCGGTCTCAAGACCCTTCACTTCGATCGAGCCTTTGGTCTCCCTCCCACCTCTCTGCCTTCCTTCACTCCTACCACACCCCTCCCACACCCCTACACCACCCCTGTGTTTTGTGTGTGCGTATTGGTGAGTTTGTTTTTATGTGTCTTTGTTTGTGTGTTTCTGTGTGTATTTGTGCGTGTGATTTCGTGTGTATGGTTATGTATGTTTGTGTATGCCTGTGTATGTGTGTGTGTGTAATTGTGTGCTTTTTTTGCGTGTGTGTGTTTACGTGTATGTTTGCGTGTGTTTGTGTGTGTCCGTTTTTTGTGTTTCTGTGAGTGTGTGTGTTTGTTTCTGTGTGTTTCTCTGTGTATATGTGTCTGTGTGTCTGTATCTGTATGTGTGTATTTGTCTGTGCGACTTGTGTTTGTACGTGTGTGTATGTGTGTGTTTGCGTGTGTTTCTGTGTGTGTCTGTTTACTTGTCTGTGGGTCATCTGTTGGTGCGTGTGACTGATTGTATTTGTCTGTGGGTCATGTGTTTGTTTATGTGTGTATGTGCATGTATGTGTGTGTGTTTGTTTGTTGCCATTTTGTTTATGTTTGTATGTGTGCTTGTGTGAGTGTTTGTGCTTATGTTTGCGTGTGTGTATGTTTGAGTCGTGTGTGTTGGACTGTGTTCGATTTTGTGTGTATGAGTTTGCGAGTGTTTTTGTGTGTGTTTGTGTCTTTCTGTGTGTGCGTGTGAGTTTGTGTGTGTATATATTTGTGTGTGTTTGTGTGTATCTATGTATGTCTATTTATATATGTGTGTTTGTATGTGCTGTGCTTCTGTTTGTGATTGTGTGTTTTTGAGTGCATCTTTATGTGCGTTTGTATGTTTGCGGGTGTTTGTATGTTCGTGTTTGTCAGTCTGTTTTCGTGTACGTTTGTTTGTGTGGTTCTGAGTGTGTATTTGTTTGTGTTTGTGTGAATGTTTATGTATGTTTGTGTGTGTATGCGTGTTTGTGCGTGCGTGGGTTTTTTTCTGTGTGTGTTTGCGTGTGGTTGTGTTTGTGTGCATATGTGTGTGCGTTTGTGTGAATGATTGATTGTTTGTGTGTGTGTTTGTGTTTCCTTGTGTGCGTTTCTGTGTGGGTGTTTGCGTACGTATGTGTTTGCGTGGGTGAGTTTTTGGGTGTGATTGTGTATGTTTCTGTGTGAGCGCGTTTGTGTGAGAGTGTGTGTTTTTTTGTCTGCGTGCGTGAGTGTGTGTATTTATGTGTGTCTGTGTGTGTCTGTGTGTGCGTCTCTCTGTTTATGTGACTCTATTTGTGTGTGTTTTTGTGTATTTTTCTGTGGGTCATGTGTTTGCGTGTATTTGCGTGTGTGAGAGTAAGTGTGTATCTGCGGCGATGTTTTTGTCTGTGTTTGTGTGTGTTGGTGTGTGTGTGTTTGTGTGTATGAACTCCTGCAACCTGTCCGGTATCAAACAAACTGTGAGTGACAGTTGGTTATACCCACAGTGTTTACTCTGATCCCTGTCATGTCTCTGTGTCTCTGATCTCCAGGTTGGACAATAACAGACTGACCGATGGCTGCACTGATGATCTGGTCTCCGGTCTCAGTACAAACCGCTCACTGAGGTTCCTGGACCTGAGGTCTAACTCCTTCACAGACCGCTCTGTACCCGCTCTCCGCCGCCTCATACAGACCTGCACCAGTCTCGGGGAGATCTGGTGAGTGTTCGTGTCAGTGTTTAATGTGATAAACACACAGAGAAAGGGCTGTGTATCAGATTGGGAACAGTTTGAAGGGATTTATTTATTCATTAAACTGTGACATGAACAGTTTACAGTTTGTACCATTATCCCATGGGTTTATTTCCTGTTTAATGTGTTTCAGGCTGTGGGGGAATGGGTTCAGTTCAGACGGACGGAATCAGTTGGAGTCACTGCGGGGAATCAGACCTGGATTGTTAGTGTCAGTGAGAGTTTGACTGAGGCAGTGACTGTCCACACAGTCTGTGTAATATGGAATATATTCTGGACACTGTAGTGGCTGATTATTAAAGATGTTGATCCTGATTCCTCTCCCATCTCTGCTCTGGGGACAACAACAACAACAAGATTCCATTTATAAAGCGCCTTTCACGTCAGGAGGACGTCCCAAGGCGCTGCACAGTTGGGTCATAACCCGAGCAGGGGGGAAATGGTCAGGGTGAGGGGAGGGAAGGGAGGTAGCGAGGAGGGGGGAAATGGTCAGGGTTAGGGGAGGGAAGGGACGGAGCGAGGAGCGGGGAAATGGTCAGTGTGAGGGGAGGGAAGGGAAGGAGCGAGCAGGGGGGAAATGGTCAGGGTGAGGGGAGGAAAGGGAGGGAGCGAGGAGCGGGGAAATGGTCAGGGTGAGGGGAGGGAAGGGAGGGAGCGAGGAGGGGGAAGAGAGTCGAGAGGGGAGCTGAAGGCACGGTCAAAGAGAAAGGTTTTGAGACCGGCCTTGAAAGAGGAAAGGGAGGAAGCGGCGAAGGCACTGGGGGATGGAGTTCCAGAGCCTCGGGGCTGAGAGGCTGAAGGCCACCAATGGTAGGGCGATTGGGGCGGGGGACGTGGAGCAGACCGGAGCCGGAGGAACGGAGGGTACCGGCAGGTAAGTAGGGGGATAGTAGGTCGGAGAGGTAGGAGGGAGCAAGGCCGTGAATGGCCTTGTAGGTGAGGATGAGGATCTTGAAATCAATACTCTGGGGGATGGGGAGATAGTGGAGGGGAGCGAGGGTGGGAGTGATGTGGTCGCGGTGTCTGGTGCGGGACAGTACACGAGCTGCAGAGTTCTGAATGACCTGCAGTGTGGAGGGAGGTGGCGGGAAGGCCGCGAGGAGAGAGTTCCCATAGTCCAGCCTTGAGGTGACAAAGGCGTGGACCAGAGTTTCAGCCGCGTGAGGGGTGAGGTAGTGCCGTAGTCTGGCGATGTTTCGGAGGTGATGGAAGGCGGTGCCAGTTGTGGTGCGGATGTGAGGGAGAAAGGACAGCTCAGGGTCGAACAAAACGCCGAGGTTCCTGACTGGCTTTGCGAGGTGGAGAGTGCAGCCTTGGATGCTGATGGTGTCAGCGCCTGAGGTGCGGAGGCGCTGACGTGAGCCAATCAGGAGGGCCTCGGTTTTTCGCACGTTGAGCTGAAGAAAGTTGTCTCTCGTCCAGGACTCAATGTCGGACAGGCAGGCTGTCAGGACATCGGTGGTCGTGGAGTTGAGAGTAGAGGAGGAAATGTAGAGTTGGGTGTCATCCGCATACATGTGGAAGTTAACTCCATGTCTCCGGATGATGTCACCGAGGGGGAGCATATAGAGGGTGAAGAGGAGGGGACCGAGGACAGAGCCCTGAGGGACACCACATGAGACAGTGCGGGGGGTGGAGGAGAAGCCATTCGTCGAGACGAAATGAAGACGATGAGAAAGGTACGACCTGAACCATTCAAGGACAGTGCCTTGAAGGTTCAGGTGGGAGAACACGCGGTGGAGTGGTAGCGTGGTCGACCGTATCGAATGCTGCCGATAGGTCGAGGAGGACGAGGAGGCAGAGGGAGCCCTGGTCACAGATGGTCAGGATATCGTTGGTGACCTTGACCAGGGCAGTTTCTGTGCTATGGGCAGCACGGAAACCTGACTGAAGGGGTTCGAAAAGAGAATGGGTGGAAAGGAAAGAGCGCAGTTGGGAGGCGACAACTCTTTCCAAGACCTTGGAGAGAAAGGGGACGTTGGAGATGGGCCGGTAGCTTGATAGCTGCGACGCATCAAGGGAGGGTTTTTTCAGGGTGGGCGTGATGATGGCAGTTTTTAATGGAATGGGGACAGAGCCAGAGGAGAGGGACAGGTTAATGATGTCAGTGATATGTGGGGCAAGAAAGTGGAGCTGGGAGATAAGGAGTGGAGTGGGGATGGGGTCAAGGGAGCAGGTGGTTGGTTTTAGGGATTGGATGAGTTCAGTGACAGAGGGTGGGGAAACGGGTAGGAAGGTGTGTAGGGGAGGATGGGTAGGAGTCGGAGTGTGGGAGGGAAGGGGTGGGTGGTGGGTGGAAGTTGGAGGGGAAGTGACGCGGAGCGGATTCCCTTGATCTTGGATTCAAGGAAATCCAGCATCTCCTCGCAGTGAAGGTTGGAGGAGATGACCTGCGCGGAGTGGCGGGGGGGACGGAGGAGTCGGGTTGTGGTGGAAAACAGTAGCCTGGGGTTGTTCTTCGCCTCCAGCATTATCCTGGAGTAGAAGGACGACTTGGCCGAGGCTAGAGTGGAGCGGTAAATTTTGAGGAGGTCCAGCCAGATTTGTCGGTGGACCGTTAGGCCAGATTTGACACAGGTGCGTTCAGCAGCCCGCACCTGGCTTTTCAGTGAGCGGAGGTGGGTGGTGTACCAGGGGGAGGAGCGGGAGTAGGAGACAGTGCGGGAAGTGATGGGGGCAAGAGTATCGAGTGTGGAGGAGAGGGTATTGTGGAGGAGGGAGAGAGGAGAAGAGGGGTCGGTGAGGGTTGAAGGCCAGAGGGAGAGGAGTTCAGAGGACTCCAAGGCATCGGTTAGGGATTGTGGGGGTAACTTCTTCCAAGGGCGGTAGAAGATGGTGGTGGGTCTGGTGGAGGTGGGGAGGGGGGTGGAGGTGGTGAAGGAGATGAAGTAGTGGTCAGAGATGGCCTTGTCGGTAATAGTGACATCCGAGACACTGAGGCCCCGGGTGATCACCAAATCGAGTGGGTGGCCGTGACTGTGAGTGGGGGAGTTTATGTGTAAGGAGAGGTTGAGTGAGGAGAGCAGGGAAGAGAAGTCTGTGGAGATGGAGCAGGAGGGGGTGAAGTGTAGGTTAAAGTCGCCCAGGATGATGAGGCGATCGGAGCAGAGGCAAAGAGATGTGAGGAGTGTTGAAATGTCAGAGATGAAGGTGGGAGAGGTTTTAGGGGGCCGGTAGAGGAGGAGGATTTTAAGGGAGAGGAATGAGGGGTGGGAGAGTGTGAGGTGCTCAAAGAGCCAGTGGAGTAGGGGGATAGGGCAAGTGGTGTCCTTGAGATAAGGGCAACACCACCGCCACGGCGGTTGGGGCGGGGGATGTGGTGGGAGGTGTAGCCGGGTGGCGTGGCCTCCGTGAGGGGGAAGGTGTCGCCTGGGGTGAGCCAGGTTTCTGTTAAGGCCATGATATCAACGTTCTCATCAAGGATGAGATCGTTGATGACCAGGGCCTTGTTGCAGAGGGAGCGGACATTTTGCAGTCCGATGTGGAGGGAGCGGTTGACAGAAGGGTGTGTGGGAGGGGAGGGGGGTCCAGGTTGTGAGGCAGGGGTGGGGGGAATGGGGATGAGGGAGGAGAGGTTGACTCCCCGGGTCTGTGTCCGGGGTGGGTGGCGAGTGTGGTGGGGAATGGGGCAGTCGGTGTGGCTGCTGCTGGACAGCCAACGCCGAGTGCCACGGTGAGCCCGGCGGAGGATTCCCAGGCTGGAACAGAGGGAGGTTGTGGGAGGGTCAAGTGGGGATAGAAGACGAGAGGGACGGAGAGAGAGGAGGAGAGAGCGGGAGAGATGCAGAGGGGGGAGGGTTTGGGGGAGAGAGGAGGGGGGAGGGAGGGAGGGGTGAGGGGGCTCGGGTCAAAGCGGCAGCCATAGTGCGCACGCGGGGACCGGGAGCGAGCGGTCAGGTGGATGGCATTATCCCGCAGATTGGGGCATCGAACCCAACAGGACCATAGTGGGCTCTGATGTGAGCCCTGGGGGGGGGGGGGGGGCGCAGAGGGTTTTTTTTTTTTTTGTGCGGGCGCACGCACCTGAAAACTAATCTATGACGTCGCAGTTCCCGCGCTCCGCCCCCACACCACACCCCCCCCCCCCCCCCGGGGCTGAACTCGCTCCGGCGTCGAGTTTAGGTACCTGGGTCAGTAGGCCCAGGCTCCTCCCCGCGCTGTCCTGCCGCCGCTCCCCGACTGGATAGAGTGCTCGCGAGAGAGTGTGCTCGGAAAAGAGAGATTCCGCGAGAATGCTCGCGCGAGCGTGTGTCCGAGAGAGTGCACGCGAGGGTGTGCTCGAGAAACGGAGATTGCGTGCGAGCGTGTACATGCGTGAGAGAGATTGCGCACGACAGAAACTTCGCGAGTGTTTGCGCATGACAGAGCGGCAGCGCAAGAAAGTGTGCGCGCACAAGAGTGTGAATGGGAGGATGTGTTTGCGTGGGAGAGTTCACCCGAGAGACAGAGAGAGTGCGTCGAAAAGAGTGTGCGGGAAACTGTATTCGCGAGAGATATTGCACGCGTCAGACAGTTCGCGCAAGAGAGATTGCATGAGGCAGAGTGTGCGCCGAAGATAAGAGTGTTAGCACAAGAGAGTGTGCGTGCAAGAAATTGTGAGCCCGAGAGTGTGCACACGAGAGAGTGGACGCGAAGAGAGAGTGCGCGTGACTGTGCTCCCGAGAGACGGACTGCGCAAGAGAGATTGAGAGCGAGCGACACAGTGGGGGAAACAGGTTACGCGTGAGAGGAATTGTGCGTAAGAGTACACCCGCAAGAAAGTTTCCGCCTGAGAGAGAATATATGTGCGACAGAGTGTACATCAGAGAGATTTCATGCGAGAGAGTGTGTGCCGAGGACAAAGAGACTGTATGAGAGAGTGTTCGTATGAGAAAGTGTGCGTGTGACATATTATGCCTCTGCGAGTGATTACCCAATAGAGATTGCGCGTGCGAGAGACTACGCACGAGAGAGTGTGAGAGAGAAAAATTGCGCGAGAGAGATTACGCGTGAGAGATTTTCTGCGCGAGAGAGAAGGGCGAGGCGACAGATTGCGAGTGAGAGACAGTGCGTCCAAGAGAGTGTACGCGAAATGACGGCTGCGCGAGCGTGTGCAGGAGTGAGTGTACTCCAAGAGACAGAATGCGTGAGAGAATGTGTATTAAAATTGTGTGCGTGAGAGAGTGTTCGTGATAGAGAGAGCGAGTGCGCCGAAGAGAGAGATGCTGACCGAGAGTGCGCATGCGAGAGATTGTTTTCATGAGAGAGTGCGCAAGAGAGATTTCGCGCGCGCGAGAGAGTGTGCAGGCAACAGAGTGTGATCTCGAGGGTGTTTACAACGAAGAGAGAAAGATTGCGTGATTGAGTACGCGTGCAACCGAGTGTGCTCACGAGAGAGAGTTCGCGCGACGGATTGCCCGCAAGACATTGCGCACGAAAGAGTGTGCACGAGACAGAGTGCATAAAAGAGTGTGTATGAGGAAGAGAGTGGGAGAAATACAATTTAGAGAGCGTGCTCATGATGGAGTGCGAGCGAGAGAGAAAGAGTGCGCTCAAGTGATTGTGCGCCGTAGCCAGAGACGCTGTATGAGTGAGAGAATGCATGCAAGAGAATGTGCGAGCGACAATCTCGTGTGAGAGAGAGTGTGCGCAAGGGAGAGTGCGCGTGCGAGAGACTATGCGTTTAATAGAATGTTTGCGAGTAAGAGAGACTGCGCGTGAGAGAAATCACTCGTGCGAGAAAGGTTGCACGCGAGATATTGCGCGCGATAGATATTGTGCACAATAGAGAGTGCGAGTGGGAGACATTGCGCGCAAGGGAGAGATTAAGGTTGAGAGAGAGTGTGTGCGAGAAAGTTTTCGGGCGAGAGGGTACGCGCGAGAGATTGCGCACGAGCGAGGATATGAGCTGCTGAAACCCTGGTTCACGCCTTTGTCACCTCAAGGCTGGACTATGGGAACTCTCTCCTCGCGGACTTCCCGGCCCTCCCTCTACACTACAGGTCATTCAGAACTCTTCAGCTCGTGTACTGTCCCATACCAGACACCGCGACCACATTACTCCCATCCTCGCTCCCCTCCACCGGCTCCCCATCCCCCAGAGGATTGATTTCAAGATCCTCATCCTCACCTACAAGGCCATTCACGGCCTCGCTCCCTCCTACCTCTCTGACCTGCTATCCCCCTACCTACCTGCCCGTACCCTCCGTTCCTCTGGCTCCGGTCTGCTCCACATCCCCCGCCCCAACCGCCCTACCATCGGTGGTCGGGCCTTCAGCCTCTCAGCCTCGAGGCTCTGGAACTCTATCCCCCAGTGCCATCGCCGCTTCCTCCCTTTCCTCCTTCAAGGCCGGTCTCAAAACCTTTCTCTTTGACCTTCAGCCTTCAGCTCCCCTCACGACTCTCTTCCCCCTCCTCGCTCCCTCCCTTCCCTCCCCTCACCCTGACCATTTCCCCCCTCCTCGCTCCCTCCCTTCCCTCCCCTCACCCTGACCATTTCCCCAATGCTCGGGTCACGACCCAACTGTGCATCGCCTTGGGACGTCCTCCTGACGTGAAAGGCGCTTTATAAATGGAATCTTGTTGTTGTTGTTGTTGTGAGGCAGTCCACGAGAGAGTGAATGCCGACGAGAGTAAAACTGCGCGAGAGAGTTTGCGTCAAGAGAGTGTGCGCGCGAAGGAACGTTCGTGCGAAAGAGTGATTGCACGTGAGAGGGAGACAGACTGCGGCTAAGCGGAGAGACAGAGTGCTTGCAATAGAAAGTGCGCACTAGAGTGAGAGTGTGCGAGTGTGTGCGGGCAAAAGCGTGTGCACACAAGAGTGTGTGAGCTCCAGAGAGTATACAACGAAGAGGTAAAGACTGCATAAGAGAGTGTGCGTGTGTGGGCGATAGTGCAAGTGCGGGAGTGCGCGCGAGAGAGAGTGCGCAGGAGAGAATGTGAGTTCGAAAGTGTGTGCGCCCAAGAGAGGAAGACTGCACGAGAGAGTGTGCAAAGTTAAATTGATCATTTTCTATTCACGACTGCTAGTGGGACACTGCTGCGCGCAATTGGCTGCCGCGTTTCACACACAAATGTATGGTCAATTCACTTTCTGTGAAGCGCTTTGAGACGTCTCGAGGATGTGGTAACTCTCTGTATCAAGTGCCAGTTTTATTATTATTATGATAACGTATTGCAATGACAAAGGCAGTCTCAGCGTATTCAGTTTTATTAAGCAGTGTTAATTAATAGATTCTATAATATTTGGTTGATATTTATTATGGGTTTATATATTCGATTGTCTTGTGCGTACAATAAAATGTCGGCTCCACATCAGTAGTCTCTGGGACGTCTCCCGGCGTGAAGGGCGCTATATAAATGCCAGTTGCTGTTGTTGCTAAATATGGATAATAATGGATGATGTTAATGACATTAATATAATAACAATAATGACAAAAGGAATAATAATGAAAATAATAGCAAAAATATCAATGATAATCGTAATAACAATACAATTAAAATAACAACAAAAATAAAGTAATAAAAACTAGAAATATAATATTAATAACAATGATGGGCGTGTCTCGCTCCTGTTAATCACTGGTTACCAGGGAGACAGTGGGCGTGTGTCTCCCTCCTGTCAATCACTCGTTATCAGGGAGACAGTGGGCGTGTGTCTCCCTCCTGTCAATCACTCGTTATCAGGGAGACAGTGGGCGTGTGTCTCTCTCCTGTCAAACACTCGTTATCAGGGAGACAGTGGGCGTGTGTCTCTCTCCTGTCAAACACTCGTTATCAGGGAGACAGTGGGCGTGTGTCTCTCTCCTGTCAATCACTGGTTACCAGGGAGACAGTGGGCGTGTGTCTCCCTCCTGTCAATCACTCGTTATCAGGGAGACAGTGGGCGTGTGTCTCTCTCCTGTCAATCACTGGTTACCAGGGAGACAGTGGGCGTGTGTGTCTCTCCAGTGAATCACTGGTTACCAGGGAGACAGTGGGCGTGTGCCTCTCTCCAGTCAATCACTGGTTACCAGCGAGACAGTGGGCGTGTCTTTCAGGGAAGGCGAGCAGCCGCGCTGACGTTACTTGAGGGCGGGAACCTGGAGAAAGTCGACGTGTTGACGTTACCTGATGGAGAGCCTGTGGGAGAGACGTGCTGACGTCACCGCGTTTGGTTGGTAGAGTGGAGAGAAAAAATCGATGGCGGAGCGGAGACAGAGACAAAGCGAGAGAGAGAAGGAGATAGTGGCCAAGGAGAGTGAGGAGAGAGAGAACAAGAGAGGTGGAGAAGGAGAGAGTCCAATCGAAAGAGAGAACGAGGTAGGAAGAAAAGGGAAAAGAGAACAAGGGAGGGAGGGAAGAAGGAGAGAGTGTAAGATGGCGGTGGCAGGAGGAGGAGGTCGGTTCTTTCACTCTCTCTCTATCTGCCTTTCACATTCACTCTCTCGCTCACTCTCTCACTTTCTCTCTTACACTCACCCTGTCTCTATCTCTCTCACATTCACCCTCTCTCTGTGTCGCTCATAATCTCCCTCTCTCTGTCTCACACTCACCCTCTCTCTGTCTCTCACCATCTCTCTCTATCTCTCATACTAACCCTCTCTCTGTGACTCTCACCATCTCCCTCTCTCTTTCTCTCTTACACTCACCCTCTCTCTGTGTCTCTCACCATTTCCCTCTCTCTGTCTCTCTCACCGTATCTCTCTCCCTCTCTGTGTCCCTCTCCCATTCTGTGACATGAAGATCACAGCCACACACGGGAAACAACAGCTCCCAGCATGCTTCATGGCTCAGCCCCCTGGTGACTGGGCCGATACGCCCGGGGCAGCCTGGGAGCTGTAGTCAGTTTGTGACAGACTTTACCTCGCAGTCTCCCTGTCTCTCCGCCCCAAACACAGTCTCCCCCCCCCCACACACACATTCTCCTTGTCTTTCTCTCACACACACATTCTCCCCGTCTCTCCCACAAACACACAGTCTCCCTGTCTCTCCCACAAAGACGCACAGTTTTCCAGTCTCTCCCACGCACACACACAGTTTCACTGTGTCCCCCACACACACAGTCTCTGCTCCCCACACACTCAGTCTCCCTGTCTCTCCCCCACGCACACAGTCGTGCTGTCTCTCCCACACACAGCGTCTCCCTGTCTCTCCCACACACACAGTTTTCCAGTCTCTCCCCCCATACACAGTCTGCCCGTCTCTCCTCCTCACACACAGTCTTCCAGTCTCTCCCACACACACAGGTAGTCTCCCTGTCTCTCCCACACGCGCACACCTTCTCGCTGTCTCTCTTTCACACACGCAGTCGCTCTCTCTCTCTCTCTCACAATCTCTCTGTCTCTCTCACGTACACACAGTTTCCTGTCTCTCTCTCTCACACACATAGTCTCCCTGTCTCTCCCCCACACACACAGTTTCCCTGTCTCTCTCATACACACAGTCTCTCTTTATCTATAACACAATCTCTCTCTCTCTCTCACACAGTCTCTCTGTCCCTCTCACAAATAGTCGCTCTGTCTCTCTCACACGGTCTATTTGTCCCTCTCACAAACAGTCTCTCTGTCACTCACATACAATCTCCCTGTATCTCTCACACACACAATCTCTCTTTCTCTCTCACAAACATTCCTGGAATTATTTGAGCCAGGTCTCTGTTACAGGCACTACAACGTAACCTCATGTGGCAACTTCAGCCTGGTATCTTAGTGGTCAAACTCCATGCATTTACGCACATTCACTCCAAGACTGATTGAGTCTGTTCTATTTATTCCTTCCTTTAACTGAATTACTCCTTATTACATTGCTACTTTTCTCTCCCAGCCCTCTATGTGACTTGTTTGTCCTCTCTAATGCTACATTCCGATTCATTTCCAACCTCGAAACTGGTTTAAACCCTTCGCCAAAGCACTAGTTAACCTCACTGCGAAGACATTGGTCCCATCCCTGTTCAGGAGTAACTCATCACCTTGTGCAGATCCCACCTGCCTCAGAAATGTTCCCAATGATCCAGGAACTTTCTGCACCATTTCTCCAGCCAGAGTCTATATGTTTGATCTGCTGTTTTGATACACAATAGCCATTGAGACAATGGGAGTAATCCAGAGACCACCACATTTGAGGTCCTACTCGTTAGCCCCGTCGCTGAGAGATGTGAGTAGATGTGATGTGATGCCATATTATATGCAAGGATTACTCTTCTGATCACTGAAATGACGAATGATTGCACTAACCACTACACTACAAGACTCCATAGATTAAATCACTCCATACAAATAAAATCCTCGCATACCATAAGAAAAGTACTATTCTGAATTTCAAATAAATGAATAAATGTGGAAGAAATTTGTTGCAAACTTTAGTCACTCTCTACGCTTGGCCTGGAAAAAAGATTCCTGATCCAACAGGTATAGAATAGACAAATGAGATTTGAATATTAGCAGTTCCAGATCCTCTAGTTGTTCCACAGTAAAACAACTAGAAAATTTTTTATATACAGATAGCCGTTGACGTCGGTAGCGCTTCACAAAGCGCTGTCAAATAACATCAAAGATATCGTATCAATCGGCACCATAACATGTAATAATATAATGATATAATATATAACGATATAATAATAATATAACGGTTAACAGTTTACGGCAATCCCATTAATATTTCAACTTTTGAGCAAGAAAGAAATCAGGGAGTACCTAAACAACTCAAGGTTAGTCTTTACAACAACAATAACATTAAATTTTTATGGCGCGTTTCACGTCGAGACTATGTCGCTAGCCATTGGAGAGATACTGTTTCGGACCCCAGCGGGGGGGCGGAGGTGGAGGGACGAGTTTTTGGAGGGCAGACGGTGGAGGGCAGTGGTTGGGAAGGAGGTTGATTTAAAGCACGGTCGAAAAGGAGCGTCTTGAGATGCGTCTTGGAGAAGCTAAGGGAGGAGGAGAGGCAGAGGGACTGCGAGATGGTGTTCCAGCAATTGCAGATTTATATCTTCCTTTCGATCATTGCCCAGGTCTCCTATTCCTCCAGGATCAATCTATCGGTTCCCACACAGTCGTCCATGTTTGCCTCCTCCTCCACCTGTCCTCCCTTATCCACCTTCGTGGGACTGCACTCGTATGGTTCGAGTCCTACTTAATCTCCACTTCATCTCGCGCCCCCGCCTGGTCACATGCGAGGTATCCCAGAGCTTCATTCTTTACCGATTTATTTTCCAATCTATACGGTACCTCTGTGCGATGTCATCCGTAGACACAAAGTAAACTTCCACATAAATGCTGACACGCAACTCTGCTTTGTCTCCTCCTGTATCGACTCCAGGTCCACAGATGTTCTATTTGCTTGTCTGGCAGGCATCAGGGCACGGATGAGAGCAAACTTCCTACAGCTTAATATAACCAAGACAGAAGCCATACTCTGGCTCACGTCAACGTCTTCACTTCTGCGGATTTGAACTCGTGGCTCTGCCTCAGACTCAACAAATCAGTGCACAATCTAGACCTCCAGTTTAACTCCCAGGTGTCCTTTATTCCTCACATTTAGTCACTGACCAGGACCGCCTTTCTTCACCTCTGCCACATTGCCCACCTCCGTCAGTACAGTTCCCCGAATGCAACCAAAATCCTCGTGCAATCATTTGTTACCTCCCACCTGTATTACTAAAATGCACTCTTCGTCAGTCTTCCCAGCTCCACAATGCGAACATTCCTGCTTATTGAGATCTCTGCAGCCCGTAAACTGACCTGGACCAAATTCCATTCCCCCATCTCACCAATTATGATCCTGGATCCACTGGCCCACAATCACTGAGCAGATTGTCCTAAAGAGCCTCACAGTCGTGTTCAAATTATTTCGCTCCTGGCACCTCACTACCTCTCTTCCTTTTCAAACATGATTACGGTCACCTCTCCCTCCAGCTGAGGGTCCGGCTTCGCCAAGTATTATTGCACTGCGACGCTAGCCTGAGTGGAGGGCGCTCTATAATATTGCTAACCGGTGTTGTGGTTGAGAGTTAGACTTACTGCAGTTATTTAGTTTTAAAGAGAAACGTTTCACAGGAGACCCTATTGGTCCTTAGAGAGGATATCCTCCTAACTTGCAAGTTCTTGTATCAAGGCCTCTTATTTATGTACAATATAATATAATCCAGGGTGAAAATTTAAACTCCGTAAAGTACTTTAGGATGCATCAGCACAGGAGAACAAGAGGGCATAGTGTTTGTGTTTCAAAGACAGACTTGTTTTTGTGGTAAGGCAGATCTCTGTTACATCTGGAAACCCATCAACATGCTGAAGAGAATCCAAACCAAGATCAGATTCCCATGCATCTCACATTCATAATGATAATCCACAGATAGATTGTTGGAATGTAATACACACTCCCACCCTAGAGGGACACATTCTGGTTTCCTAATTCCACAGGGATTGGTTGGCAAGAGCCAAGGCTAGGGGAAATCCAAATGTGTACGTTGTGGAAACTGCTGGAGCCTAACCCGCTAAAACTACAGCGTCTGCCATTAAAAAAAGACTGGATCTGGAACCGACATTCTGTTGTCAAGCTTGTCACCATATAAACTAGTCGAACAGTAAGGGGAAAGAATGACTGATATCAGCAAGTCAGTATATGGGCAGATCCATAGCCAGAGAGTTTACTCCGGTCAGTTACTGGTTGCTGAGTCTCAGTGAGATCCAGATATTAAATGGTGTGTTTGTGGAAATGCTGCTCTTTCTCTGTTAGCAATGATACAAACTTCAGGTCTGGGCTGGGTGGCTTGTGACTGTAACGTTCTAAAGGTGGTGGTACAAGTGATTCCAATACAAAATGGTTTTTCAACTCAAATTTAACGATTTGCACCATATTTACATAATCAAACCTCCGATTGTCACTGAAACAAACCACCCAAATTTGAGCTGTTGCTATATGCTTGTGGTGCGTTTTAGCTGTTTTTGAAGTACGTGTTGTTTTTGCGCTTTGCTCTCGTGCTTTGACTCTCAGTAGCGGAGAGGAACAAGAGGATGTGAGTTCAACTCTGCACATCCTCTGTGGTTACCCCAGCGCCTGGTTTCATGTTTCATTCTTTCTTCACAAGAAATGAGTGAGATGCCGGACAACAAACCGGGGCTGTTCACTGAAAATGCTCTGACTTCTCACGGTGGCCAACTAGGTCCCGGGGTGTTTGTGTGTGTGTGTGTAGTGAGGGCATTGGCCACACTGAGCTCTGCTTCTGCCGTGCTGTGTGTGACACCAACAGAATTAAAGTGAATCTGCTTGTGTCTCAGCCTGTGTTTTGGGGTCTATTCAGCTCTTTCTGTATGTATCTCTTT